GCTTTTCTTTTGCCTTTCCCTTATTTTTTTTTCTCGCCTCCCCCAGAGGCCCCGAGCGAGCCCTCGAGTACAATCTCTCACCTTCTCGCTGGCGAACTACATCGAAAACCCTCCAGACGAAATCAAGCGAGCGCAACCACGACGACACCGCCCACGCCCCTCGCTACCTTCACCACCTCGAAATTCACTTCCCGTCCGCCCGTCTGGTTTCGCTGCTATCGCGCCTCTGAGCACACACCCCCTTTCGAAGCGCCATTCACTCCAAGCCACGCTTCCCATCGTACACGCCCTTTCCTGTCGAGCTCCTAGCACGAACCACACAGCCTACCGACCGACCCTCATCTCTCGTCGTCCATGATACAGCTTTTCACAGTCGATCCTTCGCCTATCGATCGTTTTGCTGACGACCTGCTTTCATGACCGGCGACGAAGTCCACTTCCTCCTGCTCGCCAGATAATTGTCGTGACGACGTCCTACGAAAAAAGGACCTTCTGCCCGTCATGACCGCCGTCGTGGAGGATTATTTGGAGAGTCCCATGGACAATGACGACGTCTTCCCTTGCAAAGGCTGCGGCGAGGTAAGATGGCCCACCCCCGTTACTTCTGACTATTCTGCAAGCACGTACTGACGGCGGTACCCTACCCGACTAGATCCTAGAAGAGGGCAAAGCGTTCGAACTTGGTATGTCCCTCACAATTGCTTCTCTTCTCATCTCTTCCTTGCCCTAGTCTCTTCTGTTTCTGTAATATGCTCTGAGCAACATCATCATCTGGCCTCACTCTATGGCCATGATGTCCTCCGTGGCCATGGCGCCGTCTGCAGTCTCCAAGTTCAATCAAGCTAACCAGTCTCCTCCCAAATCAGCTGGCAACCGATGGCATCTCAACTGCTTCCGCTGCAATACTTGCGGCACCCTCCTCGATTCCGATGCGAACCTGCTACTCCTGGGCGACGGCTCGCTCATCTGCAACAACTGTACATATAGCTGCAGTGCTTGTAACAACAAGATCGAAGACCTCGCCATCCTCACTGGAGATCAGGCCTTCTGCGCAACGTGCTTTAGGTGTCGCAACTGCAAGCGGAAGATCGAGAACTTGCGATATGCTCGAACCTCACAAGGCATCTTCTGCATGAGCTGTCATGAGTCGCTCATGGCAAGACGAAGGAAAAAATCAAAAGCAGCAGCCCAGGCCAAGTCGAAGGAGAAGGATGGCTCTCCCATGATTACAGACAAATCATTGCCCGCCTTGCCACCCAATGCCATTCCTCCAAACGCCTTCCACGACACCAAGGTCGACCCCGACTCCGACAAGGAGACTCCGACCGAGCTATCCCCAAGACCGCGACCGGCATACGGCAGAAATGATTCTTCGTCGAAAAATAGCACACGGCCTTCGCGTTCTCCTGAGCGTGCCTCGGAGCCCACCAGGGAGAGCGGCTTGGGTCTTCCTGCTGCCAACTACCGCAATAACCGCAATTCGACCATGTATGCCCCGAATAACAACAACGGTGATGCCAATGGTGGTGACGACGGCTTCTTCATTCCGGTTGCGCTGGATAATAACCCAGCATCGAATTCCACCCCACGGTCGACATCGGAGAATGTGTCTGGCATATCCAAGAAGGATAAGGACTACTTCAGTGTGCCCCGGGCCAGCACTGATAAAAAGGGCGAATCCCAATCATCGACACCCCACATTGCTTTCCAAGAGAAAGGTCGGCAGCCGTCGTCCGATTACGAGTCCGGACCCGTCAAATTGCCGCTGCGCAAGACTTCAAAATCGTCGAGGCATGACGGACGATCATCAGTCATTAATGACGAAAAGTCGCAGAAGGTTACAAGCGGCAAGCTTTCGCCGTCGATTGACGAGTTTAAGTTGCAAGATGCGCCCAAGAGCAAGAAACTCATTAGCCCGAGAAGTGCTTCTCACTCGACCGCCTTGACCCCAGAGAGCGGCAGCGCCAAGAGCAGTGAAGGTGTTCTGCGTAAAGACAAGGAGCCGTTCCCTAGCCTGCCTTCGTCTGATTCACCTCCTCGCATGGCCCGATCGTCTCAAGATTCGAGACAACGCGATGAGGGTGAGGTGCGTCCTTCGATGGACTCCATCTCTTCCTCGCGAACAGACACAACTGCGGGCAAATCCACTGCTCGTAAAGAGCTCCCCTCGCGTAACTGTAAGTGAATATCGCGCTCGTGTTTTACCATCATGCAAGGCGCACCGACCTAACCTTGTTTTTACTCTCCTACAGCAAACGGCAAACCTCTAGGTCGATCCAACACACATGATGAGACAAGCTCGTCGGGCCTCGCAGCCGGGCGACCGAATATGACTGAGCACAAGCTCAGCGATACTTACATGCAGCCTCGAGCACCCCCGCAACCGCCCGGCAAACCTGCCAACAGTCCCAATCCTCCCTCAAAGGATCAGGCGAACGTCAACGAGGAAGGAAAGGTCTCCCCTAAGCTACCTAGATGGAGTGCAGGTGGCGATTTCAGTATGGACGAGGACATGGCGAGGATACTCGGCACCGATGCAGATTCTTCGTCCATCCTTCGTCGTGTGTCAAATGCTGTCCGCCACGGACGTACCAACAGTACCGAAGGAGGTCATTCTCAGTCTCAGCATCCTCACAGAGTCACAGGTCACACGAGGAGTATCAGTGAGACCACCCGTGGTACCGCTTCTCCTCGCTGGCCCAAGACCCCTATCGCCGAGGACCCCAACGGGCATGAGATCAGCAGCCCTATTTCCCTCCACTCAAGCGACGATCCGGCTTTCCTCAAGAGGCAATTGCGCAACTCAGAGAATCGCGTTGCTGAGTTGGAGAGACAGTTCACCACGGAGAAAGACTTGAAGCGTCTTAACAAGACACTCATCGAAAAGCGTAAAACAGTTTCGGTGTTGGATACTCAGACTGAGATTATGATTCGTCAGCTCGAAGTTCTCGCCGGATACGTCGAACGCGCAAAGGAGACCAAGACACCTGTCGACCCCCGCGACCTGGAAGATTCCGCAATCAAGGAGTTTGTGCAGAAGCTTGACAAGGTTAAGCAGGCAATGAGCGCAGCTATTGAGCAACTCCACGAGGAACGCGACGAGCTAGTCGACGAGAAGAACCAAGCAATGGCCGGCAGGGACCGCGCCCTCTTAGAATTTGAGCAGCTTTCTTCCAAGAACGCCCAGCTCGCGGACATGAACAACGACCTGACCCACCAAATCCAAGAACGCTTCAAGTCTCAGATTGGAGGCGAACTCAAGTCCCCCAACGGCCTTGGCATTTACAGCCAGAGCAAGGTCTTCTCTTCATCCAACCTCAACCTCACCGACTCGGCGAGCATGACCACGACTCTCGTTCATGAGACGGATGAGCCAGTTGTCGAAGCTCGACCGACAGTGGTTGATATCAGGAAGGGGCAGGTGAAAAAGTTCAACTGGAAGAAGGGATCCAAGGGCCTCGCAGGAAGCGTAGCCAAGGGTGTCAACCGTGCCGTCGTAGCGTTCCAGCAGGAGCGAGAGCGAGGTCCTCATCAGGGCCTGTCAGGGGACAGCATTGGCCTGCCGTACAATATGACTGTTTCTCAAGTGGAAGCACCTAGTACCCAGGCTCCTGGCCCTGCGACACTGCAGAAGGGTGCGCAGCAACAACAAGGATTTGGCTTCTTCAAGAACAAGAACAACCAGAAGTCCATGTCTACGACCAACGTGTCGACACCCACGATCGCGGAGGCACCTACCACCTTGTTCGGCTCAGATCTAACTGAAAGAGCTGACTACGAAAGGCGCACCATCCCCAGCGTGGTGACGCGTTGCATTGAAGAGGTTGAGCTTCGCGGTATGGACATTGAAGGCATCTACCGAAAGACGGGCGGCAACTCCCTGGTGAAGGTCATTCAAGAAGGATTCGACAAGAGCGAGGACTACGATATCTCAGACCCTGGCCTGGACATCACCGCGGTGACGAGCGTGCTGAAGCAGTACTTCAGAAAGTTGCCGATGCCGTTGTTGACGTACGATGTGTACGACAGAGTTCTTGAGTCGAATGGTAAGTTGATGCTTTGCACACTTTTCGGCGTAATAAGCTAACAGTGCCTGGTAGCCATCGCAGACCAGACCGAACGCTGTGACCATCTTCGCAAGGTTTTCAGCACGATGCCCCAACGACACCGCGACTGCCTCGAGTTCTTGATGTTCCATCTTGCGCGGGTTGCCCAGCGGGAGCCTGAGAATTTGGTAAGCCTCTCAATGTGGTAGTGCGATTTTACAATAAAGCTAACCGACATGACAGATGTCTCCCAAGAACCTGGCGGTTGTATTTGCGCCCACTATCATGCGAGACACGAGCCTGGAACGCGAAATGACAGACATGCACGCCAAGAACCTGGCTGTGCAATTCGTCGTCGAGAATAGCCACACCATCTTTACCGACTGAAAGACTGGCTTGGATGGACAAATATGATGTTGGAAATCCCATGTACATATCAACGCACCCACGACTTGATGCCCTCGACCCCCTTTTATTCAACGAATCTGGCCCGGAGATACTTGCCCCAGGCCTGACGGCTTTTATTACTACCTCACATTTGGATTCGAATTGTTCGGACGCCGTCATGAATGCAGCAATCTGGGAGTCTTTTCCGCGCCAGGAAACTTTAATGATATCCACATTTCTTGCTTCAGGGCACGAAGGGAGTTTTCTTTGGTTCTCAAAGGCGGGTTTAGGAATCAGGGCTGAAGGGACATATTCACTTTCGCTGCGAGAGCGCCGTTCCACCTCGTCCTATTTCAAACGTCGAGGTCAGATCAGTCTTGTGACGAGGTTATGCAGTTGGTTAGGAGGACGAGTCATACGTGACAGGATGATGATCGAGCTCGACGCTGAAGAGCATGGTACTTGCGCATGGAGTCATTGCGGGCGAGGTGGAATTCTCCAAGTTTTAGTGACGCTGCAAATATCTCGTGGATGGGCGCAGCCTATCCTTTGTATCTGAACAAAGCCAATCCGAAACTTTTATAAACCATTGTGCCCTAACAATGTGATATGTACAATGTGGTATCAAGCTGTGCAGACTCTCAGAGGGATGAGGGCAGACTCAACAGACTTGCCGCTCAATCTCCCATCTTCTTTTCCCCAGGTCACAAACCTTTCTCCTTTTTTTTTTCTCCCGGTCCTCCATCACACTCACACTCTACTTTGAATCCCCAACCATACGCCTCACCTTCTCCAACAACAGCGCGCTCTCCCTGCCCAGCCTGCGCTGCCCGCCATTCTCGGTGCCCTTGCGCGCCTTGGCCATGGCCCGGCGGTACCGCTCGCGGTCGGCCGTCTTGCGCTCGCGTTCCTCGCGGCGGCGCTGGATCTCGGCGTGGCGGGCCTCTGCCTCTTGTTTTTTTTGCGAGGCTTGGGCGAGTTGTTTTTCGTAGTAGTTTGGTTTGTTGGTGCGGGGTTTGCGTTGTTGGCCGGGTTCGTAGCGGTCTCCGCCCCCGGGGGCGGCGATTGTGTTTGGGTTAGGTTGTTTGTCACCTTCGTTGTCGAGTGTTTCTGCGCGGGAGGGGTGGACTTTTTCTTTTGAGGGGTTAGGGGTTGTGGTTGTTGTAGTTGGCGGTGTTGGTGTTGATGAGGATGAGGATGTGGCGTCTGTGGGTGTGTCTACTACTACTGCTGCTGCTGATGCTGAAGTCGGCGCAGGAGAGCCCGTCTTGCTGGAGGGGTCCTGGAGGGAGTCGAGCTCATCTTCGCTTGAGACGTCCTTCTGTGCCAGCGCGGCGGTGACGTTGGCGGTGGCGGGTTGCTGTGCGTTTGAGGATGAGGATGAGGCCTGGGAGGCGAGTTCGCGCTCCTTGATCTTTGCGTAGGCTTTCTTGATCTTGGCCTTGTGAATGAGCTCAATCTTCTTCTTTTCGACTGTAAGGGTGGAGGTTAGTGGATGATCGTTTGAGAGATCTTTTTGGGGGGAGGGGCGTGTGATGTTTCTTACCCTTTCTACGCCATGGGCCCTCGGGGAGAGTATTTGGTCCGAAACCCTTGCGCTTCTTGACTTGGTGGTCTTTTGAGGCTGTGCCTTCGGCGGCGCGTTTAGGAGCCATGGTGGGTGATGGTGAGGGTGAGGATGAGTAAGAGACTGGCGTGTGTGAGGCGAGTCGGTTAAGCCTGTTGGGAATGAATGAGGCGCGGTGTCCTTCCCTGGATGATGAGATCCGTCCAGAAATATACTCCCTGTTTGTGCCTTTCTTGGGCAGATTCGATACGTTTTGTCACACTTTAATGTGTGTATGGTCTCTGTATGAGAGTGAGAGAGAGGTTTGGATGTAGTCGATGGATGAAGCGATTGAGCCAGGATGAAATTTTAGGTGGATCCTACGATGAGAGGTACAAGAACGGTGGAGACAAATGCGGTTTAGCGCGGATTTTGTGCGGACCCGGTGGGAGGGCGGACCGTTTCGGGCGTTGTGGATCGCCGACCTTCCCCCGGCTCCTGAGCATCGGATCTCACATTACCTTACGGGATGCTAAACATTGATGAAATCTATCTGCGAGAAGGAATTCATTAGTCGTGAAACCAGGAGTGAATTCAAAATGTTGATTAGCTAACCTTCAAGTGTCTAAGCGGCGCTGAGAACCTTCCTTTGGGGGTCTCCTATGGGTGGCGGACGAATCTTTGAGGATCCATCGCCCAGTACCTCATCGCGAGGTTGATGCTCGCGTTTGGAAAACAAGACAAATTTCTATTCGAGTCTTCTTCCATCAAAAAGAATCAATATTTAATCTGTAGCATAAGATAGACAAGCCCAAGGTTTGATACAACGAGGAAGTTTCTCCGAAACCAACTCAAGATACGAGGAGGATATTTCCAAGAGTGTTTGAGGATATGACGGCAAGCCAAGTTGGGATAGCGTTAACACATCCAGGTAGAAAGCAATCCCCTTTCGGAGCCCATTGATAATATACTAAAGGGTCCATTTATCAAATGCAGAGTTGGAAAAGAAAAAAAGAAAAGAAAAAAAAGAGTTCGCCACTGGTGTGGCTACATCTCTTGGTGCTCATTCCGGGACTCGAACTCGTGACACTCGTATGCGTTATGCCTGTCGTCGAGGAGACTGATTGGCGAATTTAATTGTTTACCAATAATCACTCCGCCATCCAGCCAGTTTGACCTGACCCGTCGACCTAGACGGGCGCCTGCTGGCTGGTGACGGGAATGGAGCTGAGGGGGTATATATGGGATGATTGCGAATCCATTTCAACGAATGTTAGCCAACAACATTGGGATTCAAAACCGCATGGCCTCCAGGACAGTAGTCAGTTCCCGTCATATATATTTGACCTAACCAGGTGAACAAAGGCTACCCAAGCATCGATAATCTCGCTTATCGTAGCACACAGTTTAGTCACTACAGCCTGATAACATGATCAAATTGATCGCACTCTTTTCTCAATCCATCCCACCGTTCAAGTCGGTCACAGCCAGAACAGCGCAGAGTTTCCTACGACCACAGGTTGTGAAGATACTACTCTCATACTCCGTCTGACGATCTTTAATAACAGAGATAAAGTAGCCGAGACCGAGAGCGGATCTGAGATGATTTCGCTCTCTTGTCGGTCAAAGTACGTAGTCTATCTCTTCGTAGAAACAAATGGCGCTTGATCGTGTCAATGTTTATTCTGTGCTTCTAATCTATCGAGCTCTTCTGTGCAGGCGAAGCAAGGCTTCATCCGTTCCGCGGTGTGTAGAATCATCTACGCACTTCCATCGAGGCAGCATACACGCCCCATCTATCCCAACCACAACGACCTCGCCCAAAAGCAAACAACACCCCCTTCCAAAATCAAACTTCATATAACACACACCCGCCTTTCACAACTTCTCAACCAACCTAACATACAAACTCTCCGCCCTCGCCAACACCTCTCTCCTCTCATCCTCAATCCTCGCCTCAATCCACCACTTCCTCCCCACAACTCTCGTAACCTCCACAACGCACAACACCGTCTGCGGCGTCCTCACAGGCCTGACGTACGTCACATTCAGATACGCCGTCATGTACGCCGCGTCCGGGATCAGTCCGTTACTCTTGTTCACGGGGAAAACAAGCCCAATCGTCTCGTCCAGAATCGTGGCGACGATGCCGCCGTGCGAGACGGAAGGGTACCCGTTTACGCCGCTGCGGAGGGTGAGGAGGGCTTTGAGTTGGCGAATGAGGGTTGTTGGGCTGGAGTCTGCTGCGTCGTTGCTGGCGTCGTCGTTGGGTGTGGTTGAGGTGGTGCTTGGGGATGTGGTGGGATCTGAGGATGATGCTGGCGGCGGCGATGACGACGGCCGCTTGTATAATGTCAGAAACGCGGCAATCGTATCCGCCGTGTTGAGTGTCGTGGAGAACAGCTGGTCCTCTGTGTTTTGCTTGGGAAACCGCGAGGGCGCCGTGTCGCGGACCGTGTCTGGTTCATTGAGGTGTGCCGCGCACCAGGGGATGGCCAGGAAATGCTGGACGTCTGGGTTTGCCGACTTCATTGTTGCCGTTTTCCTTTTTTCCTCCTTTCGGGTTTTAGACTTGATGGTCTTTTCTATATCTTTAGACTTTTGCCGTGAGCATGTGAGACAGTCTGGTGAGCGTCCCAGTCTCTATACGGGCGCCTCGTTGAAATGAGCGACTTAGGAGTTTGATGATAAGCGTTGATGGACCCGGTTATTGATGATGAGCTGTGGATGTTCTCTAAGCTAAGAGCTTCAATTGAGTTGGAAAAAGAGCCGAGGTCGTTTTTATCAGATCGGGTCCGTGCGCTAGCCCGCGGCATGTCACCATAGGTATCCAAGGTCGTCACTCTCCTTCTGGTTGGTACGTTACAGAGTTATTGGAAAAACATGGGACGATCAATCACCAACTTGAGATTGAATCTTCTGTCAGGCAACATTTTGTCGTAGAAAGTTTCTTATGAAGGAGCAGGCCGGCGCTGGCAGGTTCATCCCATGCCTTGATCTGCGACTACCTGCCAACCTTCACAATCCCCACTGATGCGCATAACTTCTATATACGGATACTTTGCTACAATGTTACCCTCTCCCAAAGGTCGCTAGAGCATATATCGAAACCCTTCGCCAGCCGTCTTTTTACCGGCCCCAGAACCTACCAAGCCCTCCTCCTCCTCGGCCTCGCCACCAGGGGTGCAAGCGGCGTCAGTCTTGCGGTTCAAGTACGATAGGTAGAACCTCAAAAACAGCGCCAATACAGCCACGGCGAGCATCGCGCCCGCGCAGGCCTGCATCCCAGGCGCGTAGAACGGCGCGTCTCGATCTGGGTATAACCTCGTGCCCACGAGCGGTCCGCATTGCCCGATAATCTGCATCAGCGCGAACCCCCCGCCCTGCCTGCTCTCAGACGCCTGGTTGTTGATGTTCCATGCCACGGTGAGCGTTACGACGTTGAAGAAGCCAATGGCTGCCGGGTACACTGCGAGATACCGCATCAGCGGCGAGAGACCGATGGGTTTTGCTAGTGCGAGCGCGGCGTATCCGCCAGCTGACGCGAGGGCGTGTAGGACAATGGGAATGGACCGGGTTTGCGCGCGATCCGATAGATGTGCCGTGAAGAGTACGGCGAGAAAGGCCAGGAAGTAGGGAGGCGCGCTAAGCCCTTGCGATGCGAGGCGAGAGTGGCCCATCTCGGTGAGGATCTTGGGCAGGAATACGGGTAGAGAGGAATACGCCATGTTGGTGAGGAAGAACATGGCCGCGGTCAGCAACGCCATGGGATCGCACAAGACTGCAAACACTTCATGAATGTTGAGATTGCCGGAACTCTTGCCCCCATGCTTCTTCTGGTTCGGCTTCTCGTGTCGAAGTCGAAGGCGGGCCACCTTTTGCTCCCGCGCAGTGAGATAGCGCGCCGTATCCGGGCTGTCAGGAATGATGTGCCACGCCGCCACGGCGGCGAGAACTGATGGGAAGCCTTCAACAAGGAATAGGAGGCGCCAAGGGGCTATGGGGCCAGATTGTGCATAGTTGGTTATAAGCCAAGCCAAGGAGGACGCGAATGTTGTTGCTAACGGTGCGGCTGCTCACAATCAGTCGGCTGGAACCGTCGTCTGCAGTGACTTAAATACTGACCAGATATAAAAATAGCGGTACGAAATGCCAGTTCCTCTCGCTTGAAGAAAAAGGATAGGTAGAACGGTATACCTGTGAAGCCGGCCTCCCCAATGCCTAGCAACACACGAAGGAAGATGAGCGTAGGATACGAGACGGAGACGGACTGTAGCGAGGCGGTCAGTCCCCACGAGAGGACAATCATGGAGACGTAGATATGCGCAGGGATGAGCTTCCACAGCAGTGACATCCACTCAAAGAAGATATACGAGATGTAAAAGGCCGTCAATGTCCACTCATACCAACCATCCCACGGAGGATTTGTCTGCAGATCCTCGTCCATGCCGGCTATGCGCGCATTGCCAATGTCTGCAGAGGAGGGCTCGTCAGTAAGTCGCAAAATCGCTTGGCTGCTGCTTCAGGATACGCCCATACTAGATCGATCCAGGAAACTGAGCATAAATAGCAGTGCTACAAAGACTACCAGCTTCCGGTCGTGTTTGCGAACAACAGATCTCTCCTCGTCAGGGGCGTAAAGCTGGAAGCTCGCGACGGTGCTGGTGCTCGCTCTTCTCCGTAGCGAAGGCGCTTCATCGCCCCATCCGTCATCAGTATCCTTTGCAGGCGATGCCCTCAAGCTCTTGAGCTCGTAGGCCTGGCCGCCGGCAAGTCGTGCCTCGTGCAAACGCAAGTCCTCGGCATCATCGTCGTCGTCGTCCAGGTCGAGATCGAGATCCCTGTCGAGGCTGAACTCGGCCGTGGTCTGCGCAAAAGACAGTGACGCCTCGCCGGTGCGATTTGAATGGCTAGGTGTGTGAAGCCTCGAAGATTCAGCCATTATGACAGGGGGGGTAGCGTCAAGCGTCCCGTGGGAAACGAGAACGCACGATCACCTTGGAATACGCTCTGCAGGTAAAAGCTATTCAAGTCATGGAATTGGATAATGTGCAGATGTTTGGCTCGCAGGCCGTAGTCCGCAATGAAAGCAAGTGTTCGATCCGCCGCATTGAAGGTTGGCGTTGCCGACGGAGCTAGCTTGAGATTGGTGTCTTGGAGGAGCGAGCTGGGCGCGTTGCTGCTGAAATACGTGGAACGGTGAAAGGATGCTCGAGAGAGGTCCCACGACCAGTGACGTACCTTAGCAAGCTGACCCCTGCTCTACTCCAGCTATTAGTGGAAGGGAAAGCTGGGGATCCTCCAAGGTGTCACTGCGGCTGGGTTTAGCGGATTGCGGGTTGCGGGTGATGGGACGATGTGCGGCAAGATATTGAAGCAAGCAGGGGTAGAAGGCGAAGACTTTGATGATCTCCTATTCTCTCTTCTTCATCTTCTTCTTCTTCTCCTTCTTCTTCTTTTTCCTCTCCTTGTCTGTTTTCGATAAAGTATTCAATTATACAAGCAGACGCCTTCGCTTTGAAACCGTGTCTACTACATTGCCGCGTGGGCGTGCGGCTGATTCGCTTAAAACGGAGGATGCCGTGGCGTGTCATACCTAGACAGCACACGGCACATTGGTACAAATACAGCGTCAGGTCGAGGGGAGCTGTCTCGAGGACGCTCTCCATTGAGCGTCTAATAAATGTCATGGATCATCGCCCTTCTTCCCGAATATTCTCCTGAAGCCGCCTCTCTATGGATCATCGCCCTTCTTCCCAAATAATCTTCTGAAGCCGCCGCCCTTGGGTGTCTTTGGCCTAAAGTCCATTGAAGGTTTATTTTGTAGTGTTGGCGTCTCCTTTTCCGTCCAATTGCCAAGCATGTTGGGATGTTGGGGAAGTGTGCCGTAAGGCAGACCCGCCTCCTTTGGTGAGAGCTGTTGCGGCGACATGGCTGTGGCGAACTGACTCGCCGGTACACTCGACATGTACTCACGGGGTGATGCCCCTCCTCTAGACGTTGAAGGGCCTGCGCTGCGATCGCGGGGCCGGGGTGTCGCGTTTTCAGCCTCCCTTTCCAACTCCTCCTGTTCCGCCCTTGCCGCACCCATGTCTTCGGGGAAATCGCGCACCTCATCGCCGCATACCACAATGTACCAACGAATATCCTCTCCTCGTTGAAGCTGATCTCGCAGCTTCTCGAACCAGCCAGCCTTCTTCCCTGACGAGCTCTTCTTGGCCTTGTAGAATTCATCGCTAGGGGCGCTAGCCATCGCCTTGGTCTCGCTCAATCGTTCTTCGTACCGCATAATTTCCTCCGTTATTGAGTTGCTTAAATCAATGCGTACTACGTGGTCGGCAACGTATGCGTAGGGACGGCTGACGTAGCTCAGGTCAGTCGGGTCATATTCCTCGAGCAGCTTGACAGCACTCCAATCGTTTTGCAAGACGTCATCCTCCTCTGGCGGCACGGTCGAGGCCGGGACATCGTATTCGTTGCGCAGTGCGGCGGCTTTGGATGCCTTGGACTTGTTCCGCTTCTTCTTGTCACGTTGGGCCTCGGTTTCGTCGGGTATGGGCTCGGGAAGGAAGTCGAAGAGAGAGTAGAAGGACTCGAGAATGGCGGGAGACGAGTTTGGCGCAATGATCCATTCGGGGGCGGCATCGTCAATATTTTGGACGACGACAAAGACGCGGATGCTTCGACGATCCCACCGAAAGCCGTGGCAGAGGTAGGTAGGCATTATGGGCAGTCGCGATAAAGCTTGGGACGGGCGGGGAGGGGTTGTAAAAGATAGGACGAAGCGGTATGTGGCGGGGCCTAAGCAGGTAGCTCAGGGGGAGACGGGAACGATAACGAGCGTAGATCGGTGGAGAGCTCCGAGCTGGGGGGGTTGAATGAGAGCTCCTTTTGCCAAAATCGGGGTCGAGTGTCGTCGTCGTCGCTTTCTCGGATTATCGTTGTTCGCGGCGTCGTGGTGAAGATATATGTTGTTGGCTGAGGTGAGCAGGCTGGACGAATTAGACAGCCCAAACCCGCCAGAGAGGTGGAAGAGGCGTAGCGGGTGATGAGCGTTGTACGTCCTATTGCGAGGCGCGTCAGGGAGTACAAGTCCCGAGACGGGATGGAGCAAGAGTGGGAGATGGGAGAAGCTGGCAGTTTGAAAGATAGGGGTCAGGTGTTGTTGATTGCCGGTTCGACAGTAAGTTAAACGGTACGCAATGCATTATTCGAGCTGTGGCCGAGGAAACATAGCTTGTCGCATCGCACGCTGGGCTGCGGCGCACCTGACGCCCAACGAATTGTTGCTCCTGGGGGGGCACGAAACAAAGACTGGGGACCTCGAAAGCGGCGTAGCCTGTTGGAAGGTGAAATTGGAAAGGCGACTTGTGAGTGGCCACAAGTCAAAGGACAAAGTGCAATTCGGGGCGAGAAAAGCAAAAAAAGAAGGGCAGCATCAGACCAGGCGAAGAGAGACAGCGAGGCGTGAGAGGAATGTCGAGAAAGTGAGAAGGGAAGCTGGAGGTGACTGGGAGCTGTGGTGCTGGAGGGAAGGGACGGGAAAGAAAATATGCCAATAAGAAATGGCCGCCCAGGATCTGGCAGGCGCCACCACCCGGGACGTGTGGCCGGGAGGGAGAGAGTGTGTGTGAAAACACCTTAATAGGTGAGATAGAGAGAGAGAGAGAGAGAGAGAGAGAGAGAGCAGAAGTCTTTTCTTCTGGAATTGCATCAAGTGTACGAAGTATGCTTCCTCGAAGAACCTTCCTTACCTTCCTTCTCTCACAGGCGGCTCAAGACTCTGGGGGTTGTCTGTGCTCCGATGGAGATCATGGGGGCTTAGCCGTGGTCCATGGTCCACGGTTCATGGTCCATGGAACACGGGAACAGGCCTTCTTCTGGACATTGCAGACTGCTAGCGCTTTCAAGTGTGCATCAGATGTCACTATTCCTGTGTCCATCCATCCTCGGTTCAATTCGATCTCAACTCGATCGATATTAGACCAAAGTATATGCCAGCAACGTATTCTCCAGACTCGCAAGACTCGGTATGTAGCCATGCATTTACTTTGTACACATACCTACGGATAGAGACAGACAAGATCTTCACAGCAATACTCGGTACGGATAGCTATGACATGCATGAAACTAGGACCCCGGAGCTGTTTCCCGACCCTGAATCACCCCTCCCTCCCTCCAGTCGCAGGCAATTGCTGGCTTTAGGTAAGCAATTAAGGGCCCACCCGGCATGCTACCTCACTCTTCCTTCTTGCCTTCTTGCCTTCTTGCAGCGTGCGGCTTGCGGCTTGCCTCAATTCCGAGCTGAACCTTGGTTGCTTTTGTCAGTTGCAACCGAGGTTTGAGTTGAATCATTTGCAGGAACGACGCACTAATAGTTGAGTTCCTTCCTCAAGGTACGTTACCTGACGCCCCAACTTGAGTTGTTGAGACGACAACTCCAATAAGGTACGCCGTTTACGAAACCGAGACTCTATAACCAACATCAACAAAGCGATCAATCTTGCCTTTACATTCCATCTTAACACAGACAACATAATTACCTTTGACACAACCTTCAACCTTTGGGCAACTTGCGAGGCACGCCATACAAGCCTCAAAAGCACTCGTATTCGAACCCAAACCACTGGGGGCCAATCAACAGCCACAAGATGATTTGAGATTCGCGAATGGGGGCATACGTGTTCAGCACAACTCTACTGACGGCACGGGTTTCAAGCCGTCTTGAAACTGGCCAGAGGGAACCAGAAAGCTTAACCCCTGCCCCGCGGCCCGGGTGCAGTCCACACGTAGACGTCCCGAAGCACTCGTATCCAAGTTCGAACCGGCGGGGTAACAAAATGCAGTCTCTCGCGGCTCGCCTTGTCATGTCACTGTCTTGTCTGTCTCGCGCGCCGCTCCCGACGACAGAAAGCTGTCAAGAAGCCCGGCTGACATTTCATCCCTCCCGGCCCGAAGCTCACATGCGGCTGCGGCATCGTGCGCACAGTCTTCGACCTTTCTCGGATGTTGTAACAAGATTGCGGAGTACACTGGTCTTTGACACACAATCACGGTGCTGTGTAATATGATCAGCGGCAATGAAGACTGAACACCAAGCTGCCATGTCTTGATCTGCTACATGGATGCCAAGGTAGTCTACTTCATCGTAGCTTCCATCCCATCACTTGGCCTGCCGATCACCAAAGAGTAACACACCCCACAAACGCCGATCCGAGCAGCAGCAACAGATTCGAAGCTACGCCAGCCGCCGCACCCGACGCCGCACCAGTCGACGTCCCAGCCGCTGTGCCACTTGCCGCACCCGTCGCCGAGCCCGTTCCCGTACCAGTTGCTGTACCAGCTGCAGCCCCTGTCTCCGCAGGCAACGACGAACTTGGCCTCCCAGTGATGAGAGACCCGGTATAAGGCGCAGGGCTCGTGAGGGGAGAACACGTTCCGGTCGCCCATTGAGAGCTCAGAATAGACATCAGAGCTGTAGCTTCCCAAGCCCCAACATACTCGGATTCCGTGAGGATTCGGTGGACCGCCTCGACCTTGTCCAGCCCTGCAGTAATGGCCACAACAACAGAGCGTGCTTCCACGAAGCACGTGTTGACGGGCAACTCCTCGTCCATAGTCCCGGTGCTGAGTGATGGGGTCGACGTGGATACGTGGCACCGTCCGTACTGATCCGAAAGCACGTCGCCGCCGCCGCTGCCAAGGCGGCAGTCCCAATATTTCACGATGCCGGATGTGGCCGTGTTGCTTCCGACCCAACTGGAACCTTCGATGTGGGTGACGTTGGCCGGCCAGTAGCCCTCCTTTTCGCATGCCGCATCAGCTGTCGGGCAAACAACTTGGTAGGTTGCCATTGACCTTTCGTACGCAACGACAGATGCTTCGAGACTCCCGGTCGGATGAGTGTCATAGATGAAGAAAGGTCTAGCGGATGATGTAACTCGAGGAGCTCTTTCGCTGGATGTCGATGTCGCGGTCGTTTGCGCGATGGCAAGAGCCAACATCGCCGAGACGGCGGACAGGAGCGACGACGTCTTCATTGCTAACGGAAGGATTGCTCCCAGCGCGAAATGTGACGATGTTCTGGGAGCCGGGCGGAGGCAGATGTGAGTTGCTAGTATTGGCTTTCACAGGAGAACCTAAGCTCAGTGGGACGAACCGGCCTCCTTTTAAAACACCTTTTCGATGAAGCTTGGCAAATCTGTTGG